AACATACTAAATAATTGCTCCTCTAAGAATTATGAAAAATGAACCGGTCGCCATTGCATTTCTCAACTCGAGTAGTAATTAGTTACTAATACTATCTGGACTGTGTCCAGTCCTAATTGTCTGAAAGGAAAACGATCAAACTTACCGAACGATTACGTAGCAAGCTTAAGAAACGAAAGTGTCTCGCATGCGTTCTTAAAATAAAAATAGAATTTTATTTAATAATACTTACTTGATGCTCGAATCCTGATCGTCCCCTTACTGATTCACTAACTTGCACATACTTGCACTCGCGCACGCACCAATGAATCCCGAATGGAACATAATTGCTACGAGGAGCCCGTGACTCGAACTTCGCGATTAACAAAGGGAAACGAGAACACAGAAATGATTCTAAACCAGAAAGACCCGCTGCGACTAGGTTAACCGAGTTGCGACGGTTGCAACGAGCGATGCTTCCGTTTCCGTCGGGCAATTATCTCGCGAACAGAAGATCAAAAAGCGACCGGCGACTGGCTTTTAACCAGGCGAGCGTGCCATAGCGAATGGAGAACGGTGAAGCGAGTAATTAAACGAGCAGAACGCGAGCCGATCACAGAATTCATTGACGTTAACAATTAATTCCGCGCTCGCTCGACACAACGCGGTTAAATAACTGAGAACTAACTTTCTTTTATGTCTATCTTTCGCGAGTTTTCCGGGACTGTTGTCGGGAATATTGTGCTGCGTGGTGAACAGGAGAACGGTCACATGAAAACTAGCCGCGCGCTGCGCAGCAGCCATGCCGGTTCGCCGCGCAGCGAGAACGGCCGGAGGTAGCCGAGCGCGGCCGAAGACGATTGCAATTCGAATCGCGGGATGTAACGGACTCGGACAAGACTCCACAAGTTCGCACTGTTTTAGCCCCAAAACGTTTGTCCTTTTTCCACGGCGAGGGAGTACTTGACTTGTTGATAGAACTGGATTAAATTGGAGGAAGTGAACATAGCAATACGAGTTGTAAAACGCGGGACGAGGTAGTAAGTAGTCGGATAGGGTAAGATAAAGGAACAGGTAAAAGTTAGAACTTTACGCTCCCATTCTTTTCAAACGCGTTCCCTTTACATATTATTACGCTGTTTTACTCGTTACTCTGTAACGAGTTCGGTTTGTACAGTGAAGTGATAGTTAATAAGTAGAAGTAATTTGATTCATAATATGAAGCGAGAGGCAAGGTAAGAGTTAAAATGTTAACGGTAATTATGGCTATAATTTTTTTAACCTTCTCAAATCGTATCTCCTTTGTCACTTTTAATGACCTCATATTTTTGCTCTTTTGAAATACGTTCCTTTACGTATTACTATTCGTTTTACTCTATAATGAGTTCGGCTTGTCTATTGAAGTTATAATTAACAATTGCGAATACTATCATTTGTGATATGGAATGAGGAGCAAGGTAAGAATTAAATCTTAACGTGCTTAGGCCTGCAGTTTGTTCTGACCTTCTCAAGTCGTATTCCCTTTGTCATTTCTAATTAAATCAAGTGCTTAGCATCATAGTATAGCTGTGAATGAGATTAGAATGATATAAGAATTGTACGCCAAGAATTTAGTATTTCAAATAACGGCTAGGAGATCAAATTGTTTTAAAAGATTCGTAAAACAATATCAATTTATCATTTTCTATTGTTTTCTAGAATAATCTAGAATAATAAATTAGAGTGTAGTAAATCGAGATTAATAGATCGTTCGATACTCGACCGAGCTTCAAGTCGTTGCCAAGTTCAGGCGGTTGGTTGTCGGTTAACAGTCGGCGAGCGTCTTTTATTATTTTATCGTTTGTTCAGTTTCACTTATCATTAAAACTAACAATTTAGTGCAAAATACGAAAGTGAATGTCGAGATCGAAGATTCTTAATCAGGATTTAAGAAAAAGACGTGGAATAGAGCTAAAGAGAGCAGAGTAGAATTGCTTGCTTGTTCAGCAGTTTCATATGTACGAGGTTCGTTCATTAATGGTATATTCAGAGTTTTATATTAGTACCTTAGTCAAAATACATAATAAGGAAACATTATTTGTAATTAGAATGTAGGAAAAAAGAATTAGGATAGAAGTAGGGTTAATAACTTGTCGAACAGAAGTACTAGAAATTATTTATCATTGAACATTTGCTGTTCATTCGATTTAATCCTGTTCTATCACTGACCTTCGTGGAAAATTTCAAGTGCGTGAAAATTCTTGCCTTCTGTCATCAACTTTTTATATCTTTCAGTGATTTGAAGTACGGTTTAGTGTTTGTATGACTTTTGTGAAACGTGAAGAGCCGAAGAATCATCCAGGATAGCTGGAATCGACCAGGTAAGATTACAATAATTATGTACATATGTAAATAATTTCTGCGTCATGGATGTTATTTAATACAATTTCTTGGAATTTCTTATTCATATTCATTATTCATTATATTATTTCGTCTTATGATTGATTATCAAGGATAGGTGAGAATGACTTTTAGATTAATTATCTATATAATATTGTGCATTATCATTTTAACGATAAGCAGACTTTTCTGATTGGTTTGATTGAATTGTATTATATATATTTATAATTAATCTCTGCTCCACTTACTGTATTTGGCATCATGCACATTTTGTCGTTCTTCAGAAAAATTGCACATGCCTTTATCCGTTATCCACTTGCTATTCCATTTTGAAGTGGCTACGAGTATTGTTCTCTTATTAATCCGATTCGTTTCAAAGCCTCTACTGTTTTGAGGATTAGTTTCCTCGATACGAAACGACGTTAATATGATTTAACGAAAAAAGCAGGGAAGATATATAAACGGTTCCCGTTTTCAGGATCAACTAGGAAGCGAGGAAAAAATAGATATTTTCTATTTCCAATCCATATATCGTCCAGGCTATCAAAAAATACTTTTGTGTCCCTTGGCTTGGAAATATCCGAGCAAAACAGAGGAAAGCTCTTGCCAAGGAAAGGAGATTAACGTTTCCACTTTATAAGTTTCTTTGTGACATTCTTCGTAACGAAGATTTCCTCACAACATTTGTACGAAATCTTTCTTATTTCGTACAATTAATCTCACACGTGGTAAATCAATGGGAATCGTCATCTAACAGTAAAATTAATTTATAGATGAATACACAGATCTATTACCATTCCAAAAGGGTTACATGATTTCTGTTTCCAAATTTATAATTGAATTAATTAATTGTAATGTAGAAATCAATTTATTAGTGAATTAGGATTGCATAGTTCTAGTGATTACTTGTTTATTCAATTCTAAAAGGTAATTCTCCTTCAGGGAATTACTTATATTTATTCAAATACAAAAGAATCATTCATTTGGTGAACAGAACATGAAACAATATATTTTAATGAAACGAAGTAAATGATTCTTCGATCATTAATCTTTTTCACATAAAATTGTGCTAAGACAATTTTTACACGAATTTATATAACACAAAGAGAGAGGATACAGAATTCATATAAATTTATTCATATAATGTAAAGGATGCAATATACAATCTTCAAAGCGGAATACATTGCACCTACTCTTGGGTGTTTCGTCTAAAATTTTTCTCTCGAACTCTCGTAGATTCCTATCGGTATTATCGAAGCGAAATAGTGTGCATTTCCATTTTCGTAACCCGCTGGTTATTTCTATCGCTATCGACGCGAAAATATCGCTTTCTCGGCTGCCGGTGCTCAAACGCGAACCAAAACAAACTCGCGCACTTTCCATACAACCATAATAACAATAAACTCCCTCGTGCATGCATTCAAATTGCATTCAACCCGTAAACACTTCCTGCAGTGCTAATAAAACGATCTCGTACGGGCAGCTGAAAAAAATGGTTCCATACATTTTTCGTTGTTGTTCGTTGTTAGCGAAACAAGGAAAGATATTGAAAACGCAGTATTTTTTCTACCTGCGACAAAATAAACGCTTTTTCTAGGTGAATAAACAGGATACGTAATCACGATTGTATGAAACAATATTTTAATCGGGCAAATGTTTATTTTAAATCTCGCGAGGTGATTTATTTCAAACTGAATTTCTTATAACACGTCGTGAAGCTGTTTTATGTCTACGTGCAATGTGTGCGTATATTGAGGAAGCGAAATAAATTGACTCGGTCCCGGCCTTGGAGATATGCTAAAAAGCATGTGTTCTTGTTATTTAAATTAGTTAATAAAAAAAAAGAACCGTGCGCTGGAACACATTTGTTGCTCTACCTGTTAATAGGGTAATGTTTAATTGAAGAACGTGATTCAATGTATAATCTGTGAACTGCGATGTCTATAAAAATATTTGCTTTATCAACGGATTCTTAAAATTCAGATCATTTTTGCATAGAATTCTTACAATCACTTCAGTCAGTATAAAATATATAAAAAGTCTGCAATTAGGATAATAGGAAATTGCTATTAAATATTCCTTTACTTCGTTTCCACTCTTTCATTCAACTCGTATGTTTTTTTATTTAAAACTTTGTTCTTTATTTGAATGAATCCTAAGACGTGTTTGTAGTAAGGACAGGCTGTAGCCATTGATTACGTCTGTTGGTTAGTGATTCTCGTGTCGATTTAAACAAAGACAGAAGTAACGAGAAACACGTGATTCAAAACCTTGCCACGAACATTCCACGCGATCCCAATAATTATTATTATTGCCCTCGACGCACATTCGTCTATACTAGTTCTGTTGAAATGCATTAGTGAAGTAGAAGAAGCTAATAGAGATCAGACACGCCACATGAGAATCTTACGATCCTTCTTCATTCTGTATTGTGTTCTCCATTTAATATCAATGTGTCAGTAAAATTGGATAATGTAAGAAATCGATAGGAAATCAGTAGAAGTTTACATCGAGTCTGGTTAATGTTAATAATAATTATGCTAAAAAATTGATAAATCACAGATTTTTATTTAATAGAAATTGAAACTGAATCGTCGAACGAATCGAGATTCTCGGATGAAAGTTTCGTTGATTTGATCCGGATGAAAGTTGAACAAGGACTTTTCACCAGTATATTTACAACGTGTTCGTTAAGAATGACAAAGTTTCACAAACGGGGTTCCATTTTATGAGGAATTGTGAAAGAAGAAAAAAATCTACTTATCCCGCGGAAGTTCCCTACCGGAGGGAAACTTTTTCCACGGAATCGAAACTCGCCGGCAGCTCTTCTCGGCCGGAGTAAAAGTAGAGCCGAATACTTTTCGCTTTCGAAGTCGGAAGCAAGGATTTCCCTCGATATTCCCGCGATTTGTCCGACCCCGCTCGCCCTCCCGGCCCTATTGGCCCTTGCCGGGTTCCTTCGATTTCCTTCTTTCCAATCTCCCACGTCGATCAAACGGACAATTTATTCGCCAGAAATGCATTCTGCGAATATTCGATTACCCCGGCATTTTTTCTTCTATCTTTCCAAACTCAATATTGTTGTGAATGGGCTTGATTTCCCCGTTTCAATTTAATATCTCCCATGTGCAATCGAATTTACCCTTTCAATTTCATATCCCCCGTGCTCAACAAATTTATTACGAAATAATAGCGTGTACAATTTTCTATGTTTCACCTAAAATTACAGTCGACATTTCTAACGGTATTTGCGGTGGAGATGAAAAATTCTGGGGTAACAAGAGACATTTGTATATTTAATGAGATTCAATTAGAAACTAGCTTTTCCCATTTCGACTTGTACATTGCCAAGCAGGATTGAATTAATTCCAAACTTAAAAGCACAGAAAATATACGTTCCGTCAAATATTATAATAAACAATTCCGGTTGCGAACAATTTTCGTCGCGCAGATTAGATAGACGGTTAAGAATTTCTGACGGTTTAAAACTGGCCAGGTAATTACGTTCACAAATATTCTAGCTAGCAAGCGAGCTAGCTGGTAAGTAAGTGTTTAATTAACGCGAATGGTTACAGGCGGTTTTAATATGAATTATGTTCCCTTGCCAGGCGAGACGCGTTATGTAATTATTATACATCAGGTTTTCCCTCGTGTTTCCCATTATATTTCTTATGAAACATCAACGTTCACATAAAAGAAGCAAACAAAAATAATATACTGAGTCCTTGATTAAAATATCATATTTGTTATAATTTAATATCACTATTAAAAATTAAAGAATACTATTGTAATATAGTAACAAAGATCATTTATATTAGTCTTTTATTATATAATAATAATTATACCGGGTTCGAATAAAAGCGGAGACTATAATTTGTGAAATGTCGATAAATACGTATACGAAAAATGAAATAATCCTGTGCTCGCAGGAAGCCGGATGAGTCTGGACTGATAATGGGAGCAGCGAGTCGGAGGTATGGAAATTTATCGCTCGAGAGGCATTATCATAGTGATTAGTGGGCGCACGTTCAAGCGCCGTGACGATAGTCGCTAGGTACGGTAAGTCCATGCCGATAAATTCGGCACGGCACTCGCGGCTCGTTTTGTCACACGTGATCGCTACCATAAGTGCTCAGACACTGCGAGCATTTCGTTTCTTTTAATGAATCTCCCAATTAAAGAACGTTGTAATTTATTTTTATATAATTCGTATTTAATCATTCTCGTACAATTTCGTTACCTTTTTTTTTATCAAGAACGTTAGACTTTAGTTTAATTATAATGCATTAAAAATGAACGAAGGTAGACAATGTTATTTAGAATCAGTGATTGATGTATTACAATTTCGATTTTCTATTATCTATTCGTGTATCTTTATTGTGACTCTTTATTAAGCGCCTGGACACGCGTGCAAGCGTGTTCGCAAGCACGTCACGTAATCCTCTCCGCCTCGTACGTTTTTATCATCTTTCACACCGCGTCGATCGAATCTTAATGCAGCTCGCATAAAACGCGACGGCAGCCTGTCTCTTTTTATAAAGTATCGCGTTTTGTACATGTTTTTCATTGTCGAACCTCGGGCGGTAATGCAATTCATGTAGGCAATATAGTTTTAACAGCTAGTGTTTAATATATAAATTTATTGCTCGTTTAATATTGGAGATTTTAAATATGCTCTGGCATAAGTGAACACAAGTAGCGAAAGATGATAGCAGTTGAGATATGCAGACTTTTTGTACAGAATCCTGTTTTTTTTTATAATTGTCGAAGTGGTTTTTTTGATTTCGAGAAGAGAAGAGAAGAGTTCTTGAATCTGGCTTATCGTACTCGACAGGCCACATTAACCCTCGACTATTTTCCTGGTATATTTATTAAAAAGCTAATATAGTAGGGGGGAAATTAGAGTAAAATTTAGCTTGGCGGGAAAATGGTGTTTTTTAATACAATCTTATTTTGGTACAAATTAATGATAGCAATATTCACAGATTAAAAAGCACGAACGCCTGAGGGTTCAAATTATTTTAAGCGTCCTCTTAGTAGCATGATCTCATTTCGCCCCGGCCAAATTTAATCGCGAACGTGAAAAAACTCCAGAGAAAATGAAACAGAAATATCGGACTGGATTCCGGGCTGAAAATACTGTTAACCGTAACAGTACTGTTAGTCCAACTAATGCGAAGTCCAAACACGATTTCGCTGCTAACTGTATCCTGCGTGGATTCTTGGAATTCACGCATATTTCACGATGAAATCGAATCGGTCTGGTTGAATCTCATCTCGCGTGGCTAGTCATTCATATTAAAAACGAGCAGTTCGTTCACCTTCGCCATTCAAGGACTTCGTTCACTCTCTTCCTTTACGTCTTATATAAGAATCAACAGTTTAAATTAAATTATGATTCATTTACTCTGATCTGATCTCAGGGCACGATTAAGAAATTAAATGAAATTAATTAACGTTTTTATGTCTCGTATTTTCCACGGTTTTTAAATTGATATTTACATTGATTTTTAATACTTTTTTTATAACTATAGTATTGAAATTAAATTATGATTCACTTGCTCTGATCTGATCTCAAGGTACGATTAAATGGAATTGATGAAAAATTAAATATTATTAGATGAATTTTTAAATTATTAGTAGACACAATTTCATTTATTTTCTGAACAATTTGCAAAAAGAACGAAGAGAAGACAATTACATTTTCCATTATACTTAATTACTTAAAACACTACATTGATGAGAAATATTGGAATGGACGTTAGTATCGATGATACCGATAATGAAACCTGGCTATTAATTGTATTTTTTTTCCGTATTAACTGGTTGGGTACACGCGTATCGAATTGCGAGGTGTAATTACCGTGGCATGACGTCACCTGTTAAACACACGCCGGAACACCTGTTAAATACACAGACACAGCACGAGACGAGCTGAAAAGCTGTGTGAAGCTTATTCAGGCAGCAAAGGTGCACGGGGGGGAGGAAAATTGATGTGGTCGACACCTGTCCGACGTCTAACCGACTTCTTTTCTAACGTTACCGAAGCTCAATAGGATTATACTATACGTCTGCGCCGCGTTAAATAATTACATTACACACAAACACACGTGCGCTCTAACCCAATATTTGCAAGCAGTTTTGAAACTAACCACGTTTCGCGCTTCAACTACGTTCGTTGCAGATTTTTAAATGTAAAGTTAGAAAATTCGTCTCTTTTAGTATTTTAAATACGAAAATGTTTCTCGAATATTGAATTAATTAACGAAATTTTAGATGTACAGAGTTTTGTAAGTTTTATTGGTTCAANTTTTTATAAATGAAACTGTTTTTTATTAATATAATCTAGTTCAGTATTTGGAAATCAATATTGTATATTTCAAATAATGAGACGTCAGTTAGGAATTGTTTCACGTGTAAATTCTGTTAATTTACCGTCCATGAATTTATTCGGATCTCCGTTTAATTCGTAAATACAAAGCTCGTATTATTATTTCGACTGGGACACGATGAGTAGGAACTCAGACGGGCATAAATTTCGCCCTCACGCACCAATTAGGCGGTTTTATTCGTACGGTCAACAATTTGTTTGCCCTGTTTTCATCGAGACTGGACGCTCTCATATAATTGTAAATGTACTTTGCAGCATCAGGGCTTACCTCCCACGAATTTCATCGCGCTTCCCAGGTCGAAGTGTACAGAAGGTACACTTTAAAACGTTGTATTTTTTAAAAATGATTGATCAGATTTTCATATGAATATTTTTTACAATTTCCTGCCGCTATCAATTAATACTGGATTCCGGGATTGGCTGCGCGTCAAACCGGCGAATCCCTGACACGCATCGGTGCGTTCCTCGCGCGAAATTTCGCAAACAATCGTTACTGGATACGTGCCGCTCCTGGCAAAACATGGAACAAGGTGTGAAACGCGAAACACGCGTGCTTTACGATAAGACACACAGTTATTCTCCCGTAGACACGTTTTCCTTTGGTTTTCACAAATTCTTATGTAACTCTTGCTAAATGATTGTCGTTCCCAGATATTCGTGTTACGAAATTGCATTTGATAGTTTCGTTCAATTGATTAGGCTAGTTTAATCAATTGGTTTGTTACTCGAATTCTTGTTCCATTAAATCTTTTATTAAAGATATAATATCTTGTCGGGGAAGATAGAATTTTTATTTTAAGATAGATTTAACAGAAAAGGATATTTAATTGGAATTAATATGAAATTTTTATCAGTGAAATCATCGACTAATATTTTTACTAAATTTGTCTGTAATTTTCACTAAGGAAATTTAATTCGGTTTTAGAATTTCATAATCGAATCGTTATTTAGAAAAATTATATTATATAATTAATATCAAATTTTAATTGCATTGCTGAAAGTCTAACACGTAATTTTCGCTTGATAGAATCTCATCTCATTTAAATAGACTGCTAACAGTTTATGTAAAATAATTTCGAAGCTGTTTATTGAAAAAGTAAATCGTGGAAATTGTCAGGAAAACTGGGAAATCTAGCCTGGTCGTGTTTATTCCGGAAACCGAGGCGTAATTCTCAGCAACCGTGAAAACTGGTTTCCAAGCCTGTCTTTACGGTCGATGACAAACGACGCTCGTAGTTTCAACTAATTTCTACAAATATCTTTTCCATTTGGCAGGCGCCGTTCATCGAATAATTTTGTACACTCTATAAATACTAACACCCGCTCGGTATTTCATTAGTCCAATAATAATCTACAGTTACTGCGAAAATTTCCGAGGAAAATAACAAACAATATGAGAAATAAATTCATTTTTAGATTCGATAAAGAAAGACAGAATTCTGAAAACGAAATGGAAAATCTATAAGACACTAAGTTGACATTCTAACAGAAATAATAAATGTGACGAATTGGGAAATTTATCGGATATTCTAAATTGCTAAGAAAAGAGGAGAACTTAGCTAGACGTGGCATAAATTGAAAACGTGAACTGAGAACATGTCAACGTGGAAGGTCGCTCATTAGAACGGTTCGTGGTAGCCCGAAAACGAAGAAGGAATCTTTCGGTTTAACGAGACACCGGGTGCAATCGCGGTAGCCGAGGTGGAAATCCGTAGCTGGCACGGTCTATCGAGTGAATCATTAAAATCCTTTTGCCAGGAGAACAGGACATTCTAGCGAGCAAAGGACAACCGATACTTCTCTGTGGTCTCTCGCGGAACCAATTTCCTTGCGCCTTCTTCCACGCGCGAAATCGCGTTTGCGCGTGGCAAAGAGAACCTTCCTACAATTTTTACTCCCCTTCAACGCTTTTCTATCACCAGAGAAATCATTTACTGCTTTCTTCGCTCGTAGAAGACTTACTGCTGGGATTTCTTTTCAATACTCAAGTAGAATTTGTCAGATTCCAGCCAATAATTGCATAAATCAAATGCATACTATTGGTTGTAAAGGGTGAAATAAATTCGTATTTAAATAGGCTTTAAATTAATTAGGCCAACAATTCTAATTATTCTTTATTGGTTTTAATGGGAAATAGGCATAGTAACTTTAATGCAAAGAATGTTATAAGGTTTAATATGTTCACTCTTAAGCTGTCGAATTAGCTCCGTGAAGTTGGCACCCCCAACTGCGAATTTTTACAAAAATCAAATTGCATTCGTTTGTCCACGATTTGTCCACGTTTGTCCAACCAAAATTTTCGTTTGCCCACCACCCCAAAAAAGTTATAAAAAAAAGAAATTTTCGAAAACGACGCAGAGCGCCCTACTCGTTTGGAAAAACGTTGCGTAGGACGCACTTGGAAAAGAGGACCGGAGG